TGAGCGGGGGGGGCGCCGGCTCCTTTTGGGCGGGCGTGATCCTCCACACGGGTGCTCGAGGCGTAACGAGGTCGAGGAGCGAGGTCGCCTGTCCAAGTAGGTCCTCAACTCTCCCGTCCCCGTGGTTGGCGTGGCGGCCCCCACTGCGGAAGGGGCCCCCCCCCCCCCCCCTCCCCCCGCGCGCGGTGCTCGCCTGCTACCGGTGGGAGGACCGGAGGTGATGCGAGATCGTCCGAGAGTGCCCGAGAGTAGGTACGCCCGCGGTCCTCGTGTGCTATCCGCTGCGCATGACGGAGCGCTGCGGCGCCGGCGCCGACGGGACCCACGCGGCGCGGCGCTGTGAACGGCGTCTCTTCACACCCCTGCAGCTGTGAGCAGGCGCCGAGGGGACCCACGCGGCGCGGCGCTGTGAACGGCGTCTCTTCACACCCCTGCAGCTGTGAGCAGGCGCCGAGGGGACCCACGCGGCGCGGCGCTGTGAACGGCGTCTCTTCACACCCCTGCAGCTGTGAGCAGGCGCCGAGGGGACCCACGCGGCGCGGCGCTGTGAACGGCGTCTCTTCACACCCCTGCAGCTGTGAGCAGGCGCCGAGGGGACCCACGCGGCGCGGCGCGAGACGAGGGGCGGCTCGGCGAACAAGTGGAGAGGTGGGGCGCTGGCGGGCGGGCGGGGCTTATGACGGAGCCTCCTCTGCTGAGGGTGTGAACGGCGTCTCTTCATGGCTGCTGCTGTGAGCAGGCACCATACACACCGTGGCGAGCGAGTGCGGTGTGAACGGCGTCTCTTCACGGCTGCAGCTGTGAGCAGGCACCATACACACCGTCACGAGCGAGTGCGGTGTGAACGGCGCCTCTTCACGGCTGCAGCTGTGAGCAGGCACCATACACACCGTGGCGAGCGAGTGCGGTGTGAACGGCGTCTCTTCACGGCTGCAGCTGTGAGCAGGCACCATACACACCGTGGCGAGCGAGTGCGGTGTGAACGGCGCCTCTTCACGGCTGCAGCTGTGAGCAGGCGGGACCCGTGGCCGAACCTCTTCTGGCTAGTCGACCCGCGGCTCTTCCAGTGCGCCCGAGCGCTGCAGAACTTGCGGCGCTGGCGCGGCGGCCTCCTCTCTTCACGGCGAGGGGCGACACTAGGTTTTCTTCTGTTTTCGGCTCAGAGGGGTGTGAACGGCGTCTGTCTTCACGGCGGGGGGCGTGGCTAGGCGCGCCTCGGCGCTCGAGCACGAGGGTAGGGTGCAGCAGTGGCAGCGGGAGGTCTGCCGTGAAGCCAGAGGAGCGGCGACGAGCTCACAATTCATTTCATCAGAGCCGGTCCATCTCTTGCAGGTTGCCGCGGAGCCACAGGGGGAGTTCGCTGCTGCGCTCGCGGCGGCACACCGCGAGTAGCCGCTCGCTGGGGCTGTGAACGGCGTCTCTTCACACCCCTGCAGCTGTGAACAGGCGCACCACGAGTACGGCGCCGCGCGCTGGGCGCTGCTGAGCGACGCGGACCGCGAGTATTGCCTCGGCCAGCCGTGGGCGGCGGTGGAGGCGCTGTGAGAGTGTGCGAGACTGAGCGAGCGTGTGCGAGAGTAGGCCAGCCGTGGGCGGTGGAGGCGCTGCGGGACGCGGGCGTGGGCGGGCTGCGCTACACGTCCCAGGTCAAGTGCTTGCACGCGCACCTGGCGCACGCCTTGGCGGGCGGCGCAAACCCGGTGGGAGAGCGAGTGCTAAGGCTGGTGCGCGAGGGCGAGGGCGAGAAGCGGCAGTAGACTAGAGTGGCCAAAAGAGCTAAGGTGGCGCACAGACACATATAAAGGTGAAAATGTGCACGAGGGGACGAGCCCAATCAAGATCCTAAAAACGGCACTCGAGCTCTAATCCGGTTCTTCTACTTACACACGTTAATTTAAGGATTAAGCCGTACACACCTCACGGCTTTAGAGTCAGAGTGAGCAGAGTACTTTCATTCATCACCGATCAGGATCACGTCGAGAGCGTACTGGCAAACCGGACCGGACGCAAGGCGCCGTTCAGCTAGCGGCCGTGCACCGCGCTGAGCACTGGAAAAGTTCTCCCCCCCCCACGCTGGATTTGCGCAGCATGCTAAGCCCAGCTCACTAACTGTATCCAGGAATCCGGCGCGCGGCGTAAGACCTCTCACTCAGTCACCGCGCCCGCTTGCGCCTCGATCTTCTTTGGCAGCAACTGGTCCGACAAATCTTCACCGTGGCCTAGCTGGCCAGTGCCACCCTGGCCCCAGGCAAAGACAGCGCTTTCGGCGGTGAGGGCGAGGCTGTGGTTTCCAGCCGACACAGCGACGACGCGCCGGCCAGCAAAGGCCTCAACCTTCTTGGGCAGCAGCTGGGTCCGCGTGTCGCCGTGGCCCAACCGGCCTACGCCTCCATAGCCCCAGCTCCAGACGGCGCCATCGGCGGTGAGGGAGACGCTATGTTCTCCAGCCGACACAGCGACGACGCGCTGGCCAGCAAAGGCTTCGACTTTCTTCGGCAGCAGCTGGTGCTGCTGGTCGCCGTGGCCCAACTGACCTTGGCTTCCGTAGCCCCAGCTCCAGACGGCGCCGTCGGCCGTGATGGCGACGCTGTGGTGGAATCCAGCCGACACAGCGACGACAAGCTGGCCAGCAAAGACCTCGACCTTCTTCGGCCACGGCTGGTCCTGCTCATCGCCGTGGCCCAACCGGCCGTAGGCGCCCCAGCCCCAGCTCCAGACGGCTCCTTCGGCGGTGAGGGCGAGGTTGTGCACGCCTCCAGCCGAGACAGCAACGACGCACTGACCAGCAAAGGCCTCGACCTTCTTGGGCAGCAGCTGGTCCTGCTGGTCGCCGTGGCCCAGCCGGCCTCGCTCTCCCCAGCCCCAGCTCCAGACGGCTCCGTCGGCGGTGAGGGCGAGGTTGTGGTACAGCCCAGCCGACACAGCGACGACGCGCTGGCCAGCCAACGCCTCGATCTTCTTTGGCTGCCACTCGGTCTGCGCGTCGCCGTGGCCCAACCGACCAAAGCCGTCACAGCCCCAGCTCCAGAGGGCGCCGTCGGCGGAGAGGGCGAGGCTGTGCGCGGCTCCAGCCGACACGCTCACAGCGCGCTCGCCGCCCAGCGAAGTAGAAGGGAGGCGGATCGGTGTGTTGAGCTGCGTCACGCCCTCGCCGTGGCCGAGTAGTCCCGGCGTCCAGCTCTCAGCCTTGCCGCACGACGAGAGCCGCCCCTCGCCGTCGATGAAGAGGCTGTGCCAATAGCCTCCCGCCGCCCTCGCCGGCGGGTTGGACTCGCACAGCAGCGCAGCGAAGCACAGCCACCGCACGGCGCAGCTCTCGCCCTCTGGCTGCGCCGGCAGCTCGAAGCCGCGCTCTTGCGCCCACAAGCGGATGGCGTCCACTGCGAGCGAGGCGTGGAAGAGCAGCGAGACGGCTGCGACGCGAGCGATGTCGGCGGGGTCGCAGCGAGAGAGGGCGCGCACGAGGAGCTCCGTGGGGAGGTCGAGGAGGCGGGCGGGCGGCGGCGTGTCTGGCGATGGCGCGGCGGTGGCGGCGGTGGCTAGGCGGCGCGAGCGGCGGCGCGGTGGGGCAGACATCGCGAGAAAAAGAAATGCCTGCGCGACCTGGGTGATGGCGGCGTGCCGTCCTCCCGTCCCTCAGGCGCCTTTTATTTCTTTCTTAAAACGACGGATCGACAGGGCCGAGATGCGCCAGAGCCAAGTCAACCTCGCATTCGTCGCCAGGGGCTGGGCGCACAGAGTCCCAACCGTCTCGGTCTTCGCTCACTGCCCGCCTGGCGCCCACGCCTCGATCTTCTTGGGCAGCAGCTGGTTCGACAAGTCCTCTCCGTGCCCTAGGCAGCCGTGGCCGCCGTGACCCCAGGTGAAGACGGCGCCGTCGGCGGTGCGGGCGGTGCTGTGGAATGCTCCAGCCGACACAGCGACGACGCGCCGGCCAGCAAAAGTCTCGACCTTCTTCGGCAGCAGCTGGTCCTGCTCGTCACCGTGGCCCAACGGACCAAAGCCTCCACAGCCGCAGCTCCAGACAGCACCGTCGGCGGTGATGGCGAGGCTGTGCAGACCTCCAGCCGACACAGCGACGACGCGCTGGCCAGCAAAAGCCTCGACCTTCTTTGGTAGGAGCTTGCGTTGCTCGTCGCCGTGGCCCAGCCGGCCAAAGCCTCCATCACCCCAGCTCCAGACAGCGCCGTCGGTGGTGATTGCGAGGCTGTGGCTGCTTCCAGCCAGCACAGCGATCACGCGCCGCCCGGCAAAGGCCTCGATCTTCGTTGGCAGCGGCTGCCACTGCTCGTCGCCGTGGCCCAGCTGGCCAAAGGCTCCACCGCCCCAGCTCCAGACAGCTCCGTCGGCGGTGAGGGCGAGACTGTGGCTGCTTCCAGCCGACACGGCGACGACGCGCCTTCCCGCCAAGGCCTCGATCTTTGTGGGCAGCTCCTGTTCGGCGACGAGCTCGTCGCTGTGGCCCAACCGGCCAGCGTCTCCCCAGCCCCAGCTCCAAACACTGCCGTCCGCGGTGAGGGCGAGGCTGTGGCTACCTCCAGCAGATACAGCGATGACGCGCTGGCCCGCAAAGGCCTCGATCTTCTTGGGCTGCCACTGGCTCTGCTCGTCGCCGTGGCCCAGCCCGCCCAAGCCTCCATAGCCCCAGCTCCAGACAGCTCCGTCGGCGGTGAGGGCGAGGCTGTAAGAATCTCCAGCCGACACGGCGACGATGCTCTCGCCACCCAGCGTCGACGGAGGGAGGCGGGTCGGCGTATTCAGCCGCAGCACGCCCTCACCGTGACCGAGAAGGCCTGGAAAGTCCTCCGCGTCGTACTCGTCGTCCTCCTCGCCCTGTGCTGCCATGCCGCACGACGAGAGCCGCCCCTCGCCGTCGATAAAAAGGCTGTGCTGCCAGCCTGACGCCGCCCTCGCTGGCAAGTTGGACTCGCGCAGCAGCGCCGACAAGCACAGCCACCGCACGGCGCATCCCTCGCCCTCTGGCAGCGCCGGCAGCTCGAAGCCGCGCTCTTGCGCCCACAAGCGGATGGCCTCCACCGCAAGCGAGGCGTGAAAGAGCAGCGAGACGGCCGCGACGCGAGCGATATCGGTGGGGTCGCAGTGAGAGAGGGCGCGCACGAGGAGCTCCGTGGGGAGGTCGAGGAGGCGGGCGGGCGGCGGCGTGTCTGGAGAGGCGGCGGCGGTGGAGGCGGTGGCGAGGCGGCGCGAGCGGCGGCGCGGTGGGGCAGACATCGCGAGAAAAAGAATCTGAAAGCGCGAAAAAGAATTTTACAACGAACAGCCTCGCACAACACTGGGCACAGGAAGGTTGAAGCGAGAATCGGAGAGAGACCGCGAAGAGAGATAGGAAGAGGCAGACCCCCTAGGGTAGGCGACGGCTAGCGCATCACACTCCTCTCCTTAAAATCCCTGTGTGGTGGCGGCGTGCCGTTCTCCCATCCCTCCCTTGGGTTGTCTGTTTTCTTTCTTTCTTTACTGGGCACAGGACTAGAATCTTGGTGACACAGTTTTTCTTTCACGAGGTGTATTCGCCTGCCAGCAGGAAAGGAAAAGGACGTCGCGGGACGAGGCAGACGAGAGCGACGCGGCAGAGGAGGAAGCGACAGGAGGGAGAACGACGAGAGTGGGACGACCGCGAGGCGGCATGAAGGTTGCAGCGGGGGTCCCGACCCCCCCTCCCTGGAAGCGATGTGCGCCTGCTCCAGTGTCGTGCGAAAAAAGGAAATTCCCCCAACCAAACACTCGCAAAAAGAAAAGGGGAAAATCAACCTCGCAGGCCCGACACACAGGTGCCGCGATATAAAATGATTATCACGGGCAAGACGATATAAAATAATCATTACCAAAATGATTACCAGCAACACTCCCAGATGGTTCTCCTGCACATCACACCCCGACACAATCATGTTGAACCATAAATGTGACAAACAAAACATCTAAATGTGCCCGACTCGATCCTCTTCCGCTCTTGAGAGGCACATTAGGGACTCCGTCTCCCGGTCGTGTGCCGCCACGGCCAGCCAGCACAGGACAGCCGCTTTTGTGTTTTGACGCACCCTGAATTACGAGAAACTCAAACGAGCCTCAAGTGAAGAGGTCCTCACCTAGGTCCTCACGCCAAGAGGTCCTCTCCAAGAGAGGTCCTCCTAGAGGTCCTCACGCCAAGAGGTCCTCACGGCGCAGTGGATTATCCGTCGCAGAATGGTTGCGCGCCCCTACGCCGCCCCGCCGCGCGTCGCGACGGCCGGCGGCACGCCTTTGTTTCCTCTCGATCCTCCCTCCCCCCCCTCTGTCCCGTGTCAGAGGCAGCGCTTCGTTCGAAGGAGCCAAAGCCCAGTTGTTCAACTTGTTCGAGCAACCTGTGTCCTGTGAGAGGCAGAGTAGAGAGAGATAGGAGGA